AGGATGAGCGAACCTATGAGTCATTGTGTGCATAGTAAAGTAAATATATGTGCAATGATGACGTATGCATGGAATCTTCCGTAGATTTATTTATTTATATCAAATGGCAGGCGTCTTGATGGTTATCATTAGCCCTTTAGTTGACTTCAGGCTTCACAGAGGGGAAAGAACATCAAATTGAAAAAGTCGATAGGGGGGGGGGAGAACAGAAGAGTGTTTCAAAGAAGTAAGAGACAGACACAAAGGTAGAACAAAGGTGAGGTGAGTACTGTGAAATATTCGAATATGGCATAGAGTGAGGTGATGGTAGTTTGAAGTCAGAGGTCAACTGCTGAATAATAGACTTTTTATCCGTATGAATATACGTTGCCCAGGGTGCATCACGTGGAGGTAAGTCTATCGCCATTTATTGAAAATATGGGGAATCAATGTCACCTTTGATATCCTTCAGTGATCTATTTTATCCAAACAATTTGCATGCTTTCCTTTTTTTCCAGGAGCCGAAAACGGAAAAGAAATTTCACGTGGAACTCCATTTCAGTCCCGGCGCTCATGCTCTCTGTCGTGATCTTCCTACTGGCTCTGGTTTCAGACCTGGTCGACGCGAGGTGAGCCTCTTTGCATTTCAGTACTGTTTATTATATCACTTTGTTGCTATAAATGCTGGCTTACATTTTTTGACCTCTGATTCACCTTAATTGGTGTTTTAAGCGTAAAAGCACTTGTAAGAAATAGGAAAAAGCATCTCTCTCTCTATCCCAGGCCTCTTTTCGGGGACAACAGTTATACTCTTATTGCCCTATGTCCAATTAATTGGGCTAATAAAGTTGATCGCGTACCATGGTTTTGGGGAAGTTAAGCAGACATGAAATTGCAAGATGGCCTTAGTGTTACTGAATTCACTTCAAACACCTAATAATGAAAGGGGTTCGCACAACGCCTTTCGCTAGATATTGAGGATATTTTAGGTTTTAAGAAGCTCATTGCCTAGGATCGATCAAGGTCATAGTTACCTGATTCGATCACAATATGGGGTAGGTTAGAATTTAATTGTTTTGAAACTCATTGGATCAAGTGCTTAAATTAGTTGCATATGATCAATTACACGAATGTTAAAATACGTATTATTAGAACAAGTTTTTAATTTCTTGGTAGTCATTTAGGCTAATTTAGATTTGATTAGAAGTGAAAGAAAGCCAATGTTCACATCCTTGGGCACTTCTCATAAGTACTTTTGAATTATTGCAATATTGATGCCTATACGTGATGGTAAGAAGCAAATCATTGGTAGATAATGAGCACGGTTTTAAGTGGTAGAAGATCGTTCACCTGACATTTATTATTTCCACCTCCATCAACTAGTAGTTCTCGGTGTCCGATGTCTTGCATAGATGTGTTGAGTATAATCAACTATGAGTGAATTCGTAATGAGTTAGAAGCATGGTAACTAATACTTTGACCGCGAATTTCGCTGTTTAATGTGCACACTGATGGTGTACCTAAAAAAATGAATCTTTATTTTATATTTTATAATTGTATATTTTAATGAAGTACATTTTTTTTCTATTTTGCAACCCTTCCCACCCACTCCTCATTTCCTCTTTCTGATCCGAATCGGAAATTGTGCATTTTAACCAACTAACTGCGAAATGCCAATTCGCCCCCCCCCCTCCCCAATGTTGCGCATGCTCTGCTTTGCTCGATTATACTAATTGTGCGCGCATTCCTGTTTGTCCCATCTGCCCTTTGCCTCATTGTCAACTTGTTTTTCTGTGTTTTCCCGGCACTCGCTTGCAATCAGCACGGTGCATCCTTTTCACAGATGAGTCTTTTGAGTAGTTCCACATCTCTAGCCGAGACTAGTTTCGATTCTGCCAGTGAGCACACTGGGGGCTGTTTTGATCTCTTCACTCCCCATACCCCTCCTCCACCCTCCCAACACACGACTATCACCCCCATAGCACCCTCTTCCAATCAAGGTCGTAAAAGAGTACCCAAATCGAGTGTCTCCTGCTGCCGTCCCCTCTGTATTGATCGGTCTCTGCCCTCCGATTTGCATGAGGTTGGTAGAACTTCAGAACGACCGAATACTGCTTCATCTACGACGACTGCAAAGGGGCCAAATCGATCTCACTATGAAAAACACAGGAAGAGTCAACGGGTCTCTCGACAGACCTCTACTGCCTACTGTCCACCAGAAATTGTCTCAGGTCTGTGTTATGCAGACGTTGTTAACCAGGATGCTGTTATTGGTCATCGGTCTAGAATGCAGGAACTGTGGTTCGAGAATATGAGAAGTGTTAACCGACAGAATCGCCTTGGTTTCAAGGTGGGTTCTGAAAGGTCAATGAGTTCTGGACCAATGGTTGAACACGCCCTAACCTTTTCCTCTTTTCTGCAAACTGATTCTAACCCAATCTGGCATGAGAAGACATTGACAACTCTTTGCCAACCACTTCAGAGATCACTTAGATCGGAAAATGGTAATGTCACCCTACCTCTGTCTCGACCAATTTCTGCCAATCTCTCCCAGACCCATGGAAGATTCACAATCACTTCGTCGTTAGATACTCCTACTGCTGTTTGGAAACCACCTACTTATGGAAATCCTCAAAGCCCCTCATGGTTCACAGATAGTATTGACATAGAGGATGACGATATACAAACAACAGGAGAACCGGAACAAGTTTCCACTTCCCACTCTACTCTGGATCTCCATCCATCAACTCCACCCTTTTCCTATCCCTCACCAAAACCTTTTTCCAAAGCGCTCAAACAGTTGTCTGTCAAATCGAGGCATCTCTCTGCCACCATACCCTTCTCGCCAGTAAAATGGCGTGGGCATCGTGGCTTGTCCCCACCCTCTCTGGCCATTCGTCGTAGAATGAGTTTGGGAGATCAACCACCAGAATTCCACTCGCTTCAGAACAAATTCCCAGGCATCCTGACAGCAGCAGGTGGGGAAGAGCCTGCTATTGGTGGCAGTAGTGGAAACTTGGGAGCTGAACGAGGGGACATTGGGGACGATGCTTCTGGCACAGTGACCCAGGTGTACACCTCTCTGGATTCAGTTAAGCCGGACAGAGCTCAAGAATTATTTAATCAGGGTGCCCCTGTGGCGCAGTGGTTAATGGAGTACTTTGATCAAATAGAAAAGGCGAAATGGAGCAAACCGGAGTCCCAAGCGGATGATACTGAGAGAAACAGCGGTGGTGCGAGAAAACCAGTTGGCTATAAACCCATCCTCTCAGCGGCTGACTACCTCAAAGCGGATGCTTGTGCTAGTTCAACAGTACAGTTTTACATTTCGCCTAAAGCTAATAGTCTAGCGCTCTAATCGATTCATCAGTCTGAATCACCTAATTTGCTTCAAACCTACGATCTCTTACTCATCAATTCTTACTTAGAGAGCTTTTTGAATGCAAAGCCTATTTAGATAACATAGTGCAATGTTTTTAACAACGAATCCAAAGTCCTATAATTTGCACGGCCGCTCATTTTTCTATGTTTTTCTTTGTTTTCACCTAATTTTCACGGCATTAACATCATTTCGCAACTCTGACACCTTTGCACTTGTGCACACAGAGCTTTGGACTTATGTCTTCATCTTCTTTTTTTGTTGTTGTCACCATCAATGAATTGTCTCTTTTTCCCCTCTAGGTCTCGAAACCTAATGACCAGGAATCTCGTCGTGATTCAGGTAAGTGTTGATTCCTGTGAGTATGCTGTCATTTTCACCCAAATGATGTTGTGTTAATGGCGATTTTCGAGTGTTTAAATTTAAAAAAATATTTATTTAGATCAAATGGCAGGCGTTTTGATGGTGGTTCATTAGCCCTTTAGTTGACTTCAGGCTTCACAGAGGGGAAGGAACATCAAATTGAAAAAGTCGATAGGGGGGAGGGGGAACAGAAGAGTGTTTCAAAGACGAAGGTAGAAAAAAGGTGAGGTGAGTACTTGGAAGTGGTGGAATATGACATACAGTGGGGTGATGGTAGTTTGAAGTCAGGTGTCAACCGCCGAATAATAAACTTTTGCCGTATGAGTATACGTTGTCCAGGATGCACTACGTAGAGATAAGTCTATCGCACACCCCTTATCCATAATATAAAGTTAGGTCGTTGTTAGTACTCGTGTAGGTAGCTTGTCACACACACACACACACACTTGCCCATGCCTAGAGAGGTGAATATCTTTGCCTTATCAAAATATTCTCCTCGTGTAACCATTAAAAAGGATATCCTGTTTGTGTCCAACCTCGTATAAAAATGGTTTTCCTCTCAGTCTCATCGTGGTTCCGAGTGCTAGATTCCAGTAATTTTAGGTCTGCCTATTAAATAGCGAAACCCGTCCGCATAAGTTGCATAAATTCTGATCAAGCTTTGATAAGAGATGCTTTTCTCTTTTTAAACAATTTCCCGAAAACTTATTTAACACTACTGTTTATGACTCAATTAGCACTAAATATCGATATGAAGGAAAAAAGCAATCATGTTGTCCCAGATAGTGTATACGGGAGTACAGGATTCAATTTAAACAAGCAGAATGTATTAACTTAATGGAGGTTGTTTTCTTTAATTTGTGTTTCTTGGCTATGATCTCAACTTTCTCTCTCGGCGAATTGTTTATTGAGGCACAATTTTGGCAGTTATGTGAATCGATTATGCTGGTTTATTCTTTTTCGAATTTGATTCGAGTTATTATTATTCTTCTGCAGTTGACGAGGACCAATTCACAAAAGAGAAGTCTGATGAACACCAACGATCCAGCAATGCAGAGGATACGCATACAGAAGCGTCGACCTCAATCGCTGCAACTCTCTCCGACTTGCAGCAATTTGAAGTCGCCACTCCAGAGTTGATCTTACCAGAACCAAGGGCGAGGAAATCGGCCCCCACTGCAATGTACTTGGACACCATTTCCAAGGGTGAAAATATTTCCAGACACTCTTCACACACTGATGTCATGGACGGAATGGAACCCAGAGAACTCAATGCTCTCACGTATCCCAACTACCATATGCATATTGACCTTAAAGGTAGATATCTCCCAACCGACGTTCATGCATTTGTATTTAATTTCAGCTTACCTTCTCCTGTTTTTGTGCTTCAGAACTGCATCAGTGTCCTCTTGGCAAAGAAACACGTGGTAAGTCGATTTCTGTGCAAGTTTGGCTTCTAATTGGAGCACAAACGAACATTTGGATGACATCTATTGTTTATTTTGGCAAGCGTTCCTGCTTATTCACATTATAAGTAGGCTGTTATGCACTTCAATCTTGGCAGAAGCTTTATGAAGAAATCATGAAGTGAACTTTTTCAGTTGTGTCACCCGTTACAATGCACGAGATAAGTGTGGCCATAATGTACAGGGTGTTAGGATTAAATTTTGCAGATCAATATCTGTATAATTTAGTAGCAGCTGCTCAATGCTCCCAGAGTATTTTGAGAACAACTCCGTATAAATTAGAGGATTGTAAAGGAGATTACGAGGCTGCTATGGCTAGGTGAAATCAACATAATAGACGATTTTAAACTTGTACTCAATGAGGACCTTCACTAATACAACCTCGCATAAGTGGTCACCTTTGAACTCGAAAGGCTCACGAGCATAGCCTGGCTATGGCGAAGAAACTTCTGAGCTCGGTGAAGTATCCTGTTGAACCACAAGCGATCTGGTTCTTTCCCCAATGGAGAAAAATTTTTTTGCCAGGGTTAAAGGTACAGCAGCGTGCCTAATAAGAGGTGGCGGTCTGGCTCCCATGCAGTCAAAATGATACTCCTACTAAATTTCCCTAACTGTCTCTGCTCCACTTTGAGTGGTGTGATGTGCTCCACTCCTCCGCATTTTTTTATCCGGGTGGGGGGGGGGGGGGGGGGGGGGGCATGAGCCTTAATTTTTGGATTCAGATACCTAAGTGGAAGTCATGGTCATTGTGTGATAGTCGCCATATAACTAATGAAGGTAACCAAGAAAATAGGCCCTATGCATTGCGTTGACAGTATTCGGCTTTTAGCCACACCCTCAGGGAAAGAAGCAAAAATCGTTCTCAGCAAATTTCCACGATTTCGACTTTTCTCACTTTCCCTGCCCACTGTTTTTGCTGCACCTATCATGCTTTTTTTTTAAAGGTAGTCTTCACGCTAACGGTAATTCTTCTTATGAATGCATTGAAATTCCCGTTAAATTGGTCATTTCAAGTGGTTGATGAAACTGAATATTTCGGATGTTATAGTTCTTTTCATAAGTAACTTATTTATTCAATGCCCGAATAAGTCGCTAATGTTGAATTTAATAAAACAAAGCTCTTTAAAATGTCCTTTGATTTTTAAATAGGGCTGTAAGGAAATCTTGCTGCCGCTTATGCCGGGTTGCAATTTTCTTCTTGTAATTTATTCCCCCCCCCCCCCCTCTAAAATGACCTTCCACCAAACCAATCACCCTTCAATTGTGGAAATTTTTCAGTGATATAAAACAGTCATGGACAATATTGTTCGAACGGAAGTGAATTCTGAACTCATCACGTTATCTACCTTTTACTTAATTGGTTTAATGCGTTGCATTACAACCTGATCTATTAATATTCAAACTACACGATCTGATTATTGTCCTCAGGCTTGATTTCCTCAGTTGCTTCCTTGTCGGGCTACTCCACAAAAGTACAGTATGATCGAGTGGTCGAATAATGTATCGATTCTGTCCTCCTTGAGAGATCATATTCATTACCCGTTTCATCTTATCATGATGACTGCCCTCACATAGGCGATTTATAATATATTGATTGACTTAGGTTACTGTTAATAGAGTAGATCTAACTAGAGCTCGGAAGGTGGTTATTGATTACACAGCTGTCGTGTCTTCCGTAAAATGCACAGCACATGCTATCACGATAATAGTTTTACCTTTTCTTTCTCAATTTTTTGAGTGCTTAACTCTTGTGATTTATGCTCTTCTCACGCAGAATTTAATGCCATTTAAATAAACTCTAAAGCTATACTGCTTTTCATGTGTTTAGTTGCCGAAAAGTCCATTTACGATACATCCATTGTTGACTGGAGTATGTGTTTAGTAAATTTCATTTAGTGGCAACTGTACAATGTGTCTTGTTACACATGTAAATGCTGTTGGGTTATGTACTGCTTTGTCCATTAACTAGTCAAGCATGTTGCATGGAACAAACCTCTCACTTAGTATGGATGATTGTTGAAATATATATAGCAATTTTAGTCTAAAGTTATTACGTGGTATTTATCTAATGTTTCCATTTGTGTCAAAGCCATTCAATGTAATATTTGTCTCTATATTATGCAGATAACGCATCTCCCTATTACAAGCGACGTCATAGAGGTCTAATTAGCACAGCAGTCATCCGCGGATCCAGAGATACTTATTCAAATAGTGTTCCTGATCTTATCCAATTGCTCAACTGTTCACTCAGCGATGGACCATCCCAAACAGAGAGTATGTGATCAATTACTTGTTTGCATATCAGTAGCATGTATTTTCCCAGTCGTAATAGACGTTCTTCTTTCAGCTCCTCAGAATCCTGCTGAAATGATGGTTCCGAGCGCTCCAAGTGTACCGGAGATCTATCCATTGGAGACGCTTCACAATGCCATGACACTTCATCAATTGGAAAGTTTCTTCACAGGCCTAACAACGCACAAATTCCGCTCGCCCTTTACTAAGGGAAACAATGGAATAGACAGTGATGGAGAGGATCGAGTTTCCCCAGCAGAACTTGCAGTAAAATTGAAAGCAGATTCGTCCTGTAATTTTTCATTGTCCCCATCATTCTCATCCAAGTTCCAAGCACATAACCTTGAGAGGCCGGTGCCGGAATCGACTAGGGAGGGAGGGGCCGAGCGTAAAGTAGACTATGTATTGTTAAACAGGGAGTAGACATTTTCACAAAGTTTAACGCGAAATCTGTAAGCCTGAGCTGCGACCAGAGACTACCTAGAGGTTATTTATAACATCTCTGATTCTTTCTACTTTTTATTGTAATCAAAATGTGCGGATTTTGGATAAAGTTGGAAATCGAAATAAATCTCCATTGCGGACTTTTGTTTTGCCGCTATTCATTGAAATTTGCGCAAAATGTGTCTCTCTGTCTTTTTTTCATAATTAATTCTGATAGTTTGGAAAATTTGTACTAGTTTTAACTGAATGAAAAGGCTTCTTGTTGTAAAACGGTCAACCAAATTGATATTTTTACGATTTGCCAAACGATAATCTCTAGTAGAAGAAGAAAAAACAGTAGTCGCCGTTAGTGTAGGATAACTTAGTTTGGTTTGAACTATCCACAATTGGCGCAATTCATCTAGGTTTACCCAAACGATTTAAGGGTTGGCATTTCGATGATAATTAGCTGAAAATTAAAAAACACTAGTCAACGACTACGCTTTTATGTGAACCAAGGGGAACATATAAAGCTAATATCAACTCAGTCTTCGTGATGAGTGTTTTCAAAGTAGGGAGTGTCCTCCTTATCAATCGGAAGAAATGGCCCAGTAATTTAGACACTGAACACGTCGGCGCCATAGATTCGGATAAATTATGAAGCACTTATAGTGAAATGAGCACTTCATAAAAGCCTCTGGAATCTGAGTTCAGTGTGCTGCCATTTCTAATAACTGGCTGGACTGCTTCTAATTCCTCAGTGGCAAAGCTCCGACTATTTACAAAGAATAAGTTAAAGCTCATTGTGGGTGGAAGACAAAGGAGATATTGGGGGGAAGTCGGTTTAAGTTAGGACCAAAGTCAATTCAGGTTTCTGTGTGAAAAAAGAACAATAACATCATGCCGTGAAAAGAACGAAGACTCCACTTCATTAAGCAATTTATTTCATACTGAGATTGAGAACACAGATTCACGGAATTTTTGATATGGAGTATGCAGTTTTACTATTTTAACACCTAAGTAATCTAAATTTAGAGAATGAGCAACAGTCATCAATCCGGTGGCGGATTGATCTTCAACATTTCGTATCAAAATATTGGTGATTTTTCCGCTGTTGTTAACAAATTTCAGATGGGAATAGCTCATTAAATTGCTTTCAAAACCTTATCTGAACCACAAGAAAACGAATAGAGAAGTTAGCTGGATACTTTATTTAACTTGATCTATTCGATTTCGTATTCCTGAGATCAAAGAATAAAGCTGAAAATTAGTAGACAAATTACAAAGCTGCAAATTCGATGGACAAAGTATGTCCGAAAGCGAACTCATGAGAAGGAAATGGCTTAGCACGAGTCTCCAAATAGGAAAAATGAGCTTAGCTTTCTCTATGTAATTTGGTGTTAATAGCAGAGAATGCGTATCTAATTTTATTATTTGATATAAAGGAGATGTTAGCAAATAGGTTTTTCATTATTGAAAAGTAAAAAATGCTATATCCATATATAGCCTTAAAAAAATAAAGACTCAATACTTTCATATAGCTTTCAAGATATTAAAATTTTATTCATATTATTAAAGTTAAAGCAATTACAAGAGTCAAAAATAAAATTTATTGACAAACTTAAAAATACTTATATTATTTTTAAATAAGCCGTCCAGTGGAGGAGTGTTCAATAGAGCTGTGGGGGTCGGTGTTCACGTGATTTCGTTTTGCGCAGGCAAAAATACTCGTAATGGAAACAACCAATAATGGGTAAGAAAGCGTTTGTAATTTATATTTTCCAGAAATGCCGTATTTTCTTTCGATTTTGAGATCCAAAACCAGTCACAACAGTGGCAAGCTCTCGATGAACAAACATCTGAGTCTGTAGAAGAAGTTCAACATTCATCCGGCAAATATTTCTCCTGCTACCCAACAGTTGGAGACGAATTTTTCAACCCCACAGATCCCGCAGCTATTAAACATGAATGGTTGCAAAACAGACACAATGCGAAGGGCTCTGTACGGAATAGTGGAAAGCAATTCCTATTGCATTCTTTGGAACACAATAATAATCGAAATTTACACTAATTATGCCTTGCTTTTCCTTACTCAAAGCTTAACCCAAAAGAATAAAGTAGATAGCATGCTTTATGTACTAGTATTTATTAATCAGCCAAGACGCGAGCGTCATTCAAAAGTCAAACTCATGATAAGATTGTGTCGGTGGTTGGAAAGCAAATTCGTTTGGATCTGCCAGGGGGATTTGACTTTGTACTGAATCTCCTTGAGCTGCTTCACCAGGTTTTTCGTCTTCCTCCTATCAACGAAAATTGGAGCAGTTATATCCAACTCAATTTAAGTATATGCAGAAGGCAGGAATGAAGTGCACTTACACAGCCACTGAAGTACTTGGATATAAATTCGTAGGCAGATTTATAAATCTCGTTGTTTTCATGTTCTTGTAAGTTCTCTATATTACTTAGAGCTTCTGATTCCTCGAGAGCCACGCAGCAATTTTCCAACTGGTCATTCTCTTCAGCAGTCTAGAAACCATATATAGACGATTGTGAGGAGGAAAAGTAAAAAAAATATAGATAACTAAGAGTCTTACTTCGAAAAGCTTCTTGATGACTTCAAGAACTAGGCTCACGAGTTTGGCGTCAGAGACCTTGAGTAAATCACTTAGTGCATTGAAAATTCCAAGATTAAGTAAAATAGCCTGCTGCTCGGGACTTCCACCAATAGCGATGTTACTGATAGCCCAACAAGCTTCCCTTTGTACTCTGAAATCTCCCTAGGGGAAATTAACAATAAGTCATTATAATAGGGAATTATGATAACTACCTCTCGGATCCACTTCAAAAGCATGGGCACAATTCCCGCTTCAATAACCATTTGAATTTGATGTTTCGTACCGGCAGTAACATTACTTAACAACCAGCAAGATTCCTTAACAATTGTTGATTTTCCATTGACAAGAACTTGGGCAACGTGCTCGAGTAAGCCACAATCCAAAACACGCTGCGTTTGCTCATCTGTTCCGAGAATAAGGTTACCCAATGACCTCAGGGCAGGTGAAACAAGTCTAGGCTAAACAGAAAATATGATCTGACACAAGTCCTAAATTACATAACAAGAAACGTAACGGGTCAAACTCAGTAACTTACGATATCAGTCCCTAGACATCTAATTAGACGTGGAACACAACCGCTTCCGAGAATATCATCAATGTACATATCTCCGCAGTCAGTTATGTAGGAAATAGCCCATGCAGTATCTATAATGATATCCTCACTTCCAACAAAATCAAAAAGTTGCACGAAGACCGGTATAAGTTCAAGAACCGTGCTCCTCGGCGGACATGGATTATTGTTGCGACATAGATTGGACAATACCCAAGCAATATTTGAGACTACACTAGGATTATCCCAAGAGCGTTGTAGAAGTCTGGAAAGTGGTAAGAAACGACGATATTAATAAGACACTAGATAATTATTTTCACTTTAACGAAATAATTCATACCGCAGAGAGGGTGCAACAATGCCGAGTTTGATGAGCATATCACGATAACTAGGACCTTCTCCAGCAATATTACCAAGAGCCCAAATACTCTGCTCAGCGATGCGAATATCTGAATGATCCAGTAACCCAATTAATTTTGGCACGGAGTTGCATTCTACAACAGCTTTAGTGTGCTTGGATTCTCCAGATGCAATGTTTGTGAGTGCCCAAGCAGCTTCAAACACAATGTTAATACTAAAAATGTAGTAAATCACTATCAATGACATACTTATCCATATCCAGCAATTTGGTAAGAGCCGTGTGGGCATTTAAGTCCACAAGCTCATCAATGGGTGGGTTCTTCATTTTTGAGAGGATTTTACGGCAATTCACAGCTGCTTCACTGACTACCTTTATATCCAACGAAGCAAGATCAGCAACAACTTGTTTATAGTCGAGAGGCAGCTGGATGCTCTTATGAATGCAAAAGTAACTTCATTATTGCGATCTTACTGTTTGTTCGCGTAATGGAGAAGTTTCTTCTACATCAACCAGAACATTGCGGCGTTTAAGAAGCTGCTGCTCTTTTCTAACTTTTCTTAGTTCAACTGACTGATCATTTCTCCTGCGACGCAATTCCTCATCTTTTCCAGAATACTTGTATAACCTCGAACGATTCATTTTGAGCCCGGTTAGTTGTAATGTGCGCAACCTGCAAAATTTAAATCGTCGCACACATTATAAGCAGAAAGTATTTAATTCCTTAAAATGTCTAATCCTTTAAAAATCTTAATTCTTCTTCTAAATTTATTTAAAGGTGATACTCTCAACCTTATAAATGTTATTTACTCTCACTTATTATCAATCTATATTTGGTTTCAGTTTCTTTTTCGATTCTAGAGTGTTCATTGTCATTCTCAACGTCTCCACTATATCACTCCATTAATCGATATCTTTCGTTAAACTCACAATCTCTTAATAAGATCCTAAACACTGAAATTTGGTTTGGTCCAAGTATGATTATTTAGTTGATCTTCACTTACTACGTTAAAATGTGGCCAATATGTATTTATATTTAGCACGGAGCTTTACATCATTTATAATGAATTTCGTAATTACTAAAAATTTAATGTGTTCTTATCTACTAACCTTTTTAGTTGTTAAACTCAAAATTAAACTTTGAAAGTTTATTCAATTCCTTCCTCAAATCATTTAGCAGAGGTCAAGTCGATAGGATTATGCTCCTGACTCAAATTTTACCTAACGCAGGAAAATACATATGTCTAAATACCATATTGGCTCATCGGAGATCAATTTGAAAGCGATTTGGCTACTTTAGAATCTCAAGATCAGCTCCGAAAATAGATTTGTAATATACACGAGTCGTAACATGTCTGCGTCGCATAGATTTATATATTGCCCAATTTTTAATAGAGTATTTCTATCACGCATTTATTTTGACCAGAAATTAAAAGAGTGCCACAAAAAATGCATGCAAAAACTTAAAATACAACGTACGTTTTTATGGATCTTTTGCTAATTTTGGGATTTCATCGATGGGTTGGTTTCAGATTATAAATGTGGATAGTGTTTACCACCACCACTCAGAACTCTATTTAAGTTAATTTACCAGAAAAAATGCTTCTATTTGTGATATCTTTTGTAAATCTGTGTGATACTTTGGCTTTAGTAGCTAACAATGGGGTAATGAGTCACAAACTTATGCTTTCTAGTGGAATCAGTTTGAACTCTATCATTGTGTCAGCATCATTTATTTTTGTGAGGAGTCTATAGCTTGGTAATTACCTATGAAAAACAGAGTAAACTAGATAAGGTATTGTCTTTCTTTGTTTTAGGCCATAACTAAGTTACTTTAACAAAGTGTTAGTCGATGACGTTTCCATGAGATGATTAACATCAATGCATTGATCTACCTAAAAATGTGAATGAATAGATGGGACGCCAATGGATACTGTTGTCGAGTTCTAATAGTTTATGATCACCAAGCGTTGACCGACATCCGCGTTCAATAGCCTAAGAAAACAGTTATGAGATTGCGGTCTCGTGGATGGAAACGTGGAATTCATCCTAAGTAGGAGAGGAGATTGGAGGGGGGGGGGGTGAAGGGAGGGAATAAAGCTCAAGGGCAACTCAACAAATAATTAATGGTATTTAAAAGTCAGGGGTAATTCTCAAAGTTATTACACTATAGTTGAAACCCCCTCTCCCTTCTATCCTTATTTCCTTGAGTTGCATCACCTGATTTATATCGCTCTACTATCTATTTGGTAAATTACGGCAATATGGTGCTCGATTAGATTGTAACCAGGCAGTTAAGCTTTCCTTAATCGAAAAACAATTCTGAGGTCACATATAAGGAGTGTTAGCTGGAGTGAAATCTTGCAATCATGACGGAAGACATTCGCCCATATCCCCGATGAAAGCTGATTAACAAAATGGAGCTCAAGAAATCTAGGAAGTATAAATAGTCAGTCTACTTGAATGATTTCAATTAATTTACGCATATGAGTAATGAAATACTCTGGTTAAATCAATGAGAATTATCTATTAGCTCGGCTGTTTATGCTTACTTCTGGTAGAGCTTTCTGGTGGACAAATATCATGTCGTATTTTCATCGTAAACAGGACCAATCATTTCAAAACTATGTGATTATTATTTGTTCCATATTTTTAGCTTTTAAATATTTAGTTTGCTCAAACGAATTGTCGAAATGGTGTTCTGGGATTTTCATTTTTAAACTAAACTCACTTCAACTTAATCAAAATTGAATAAACTGAATATACTTTATTTGATATAACGTTTTAAGTTATGAAAAAGCGTAGTCAAAAGGCAGTGACATTTGACAAGATTAATTATATTTTTTGTTTATAAAATGGAGCGTTTGTTTGAATCGCATTTGCTATAAACGTTGCCAAATCCACTTTTAATAGATACAGAAATGAGACTGGCAATGTATACATTAATCAAGACTAGTATATCATCAGTAGAGTTCAGAATTAAGAAATCTATATGATTAGATGGAGTCTACGTATCTTGATTCGAAGGCCCGCTCAGTCCCATCATGTATTGAGCGTCAACTGATTCATACATTTGGCTGAGCTGTCAACCACACGCCACTGAACAAAGAAAGCAAAATTGGTTAACATCATCTCATTCTTTTAATCTGGATTGTCCTCTCTCTCTCTCTTCCTATTTCTTCCACCTTCTACTTCTCATTCATTCCCAATTTGGTGTTCACAATCAGGAAAAGCTGTTGACACCAGCTAGACTTAGGAAGATAGCGAATCTTTTGGAGGAGGGGGGGGGGGGGGGGGGGAGAGAACGAAGACCAATTTGGTGGAGCTCTTAATGTTATTTGATTTGGGATTGGAGTTACTTTAGTTGCGTGAGAAATTCGATCATGTGCCCTACAACTACCCCTTTAATGTTGGTCCAACTGTAAGCACCATATTGGATATCAGGAAAAGTAGATTATCCTCGCAATTTCATCTGCAATTCCCCCATCCGGGCCTTATCAGTTTGGCTTAGTGACACAAACAGCCAAACCGAACAAACAAATTAGCTTAAAAAGGGGTATTTTGGCAAGGTTCAAATATTCCCAAATTCTATCTACTGTCTAATGAGCTCACGGTCCACAAGAAGGTTTTTAAAGATGCTTTTTTCCTTTTTTCTTTCTTTTCAACAAGACACGGCGACATATAAAGGCTTCATTCGGGTTGAAATTAAATTTCGTTGTATTTGCTTTGAAACCAGCGTTATTTCGCCCTACGCTGATGCCCGAATATTCACGGCAAAAATTGATTGGAAATTAGCGTTATAAATAGTAACATAAATGAAAGTAGAGGAAAAACGATACCACTTTCTCGTTATTTTTCTACCACCAAACGTACATACTAGTGTCAAAACAAGGGATCCAGCTAGCGTGTAAGAAGATCATAGTTCAAAAAGAGAGAACTCTATAACCCATTTATAACAATTAGATACTGCTCGTCAACTGACAGGGAAAGCACTTGAGAAAGCATGAACACATTTCTGATGTTTTCCCCTCGAAAGCCTCTCAACTCTGCTGCCTAAATGACCTGATTTATTTTAATGTCCCGGTGCGAAGTGCCTATTCCAATATTCGTACCTATATATGTAGTCCACCACTTTCACAGTACTCACCTTACCTTGCCTTTTTCCCTATCTTTGTGTCTGTCTGTCTCTTTAACATCTATGAATCGCTCTTCTGTCCCCCACCCCTCGATTTTCTACTAATTTGATGAACCTTCCCTCTGTGAAGCCAGAAGTCGAACAAATGGATAATGATAGCTATCAAAACGCCTGTCATTTGAAATAAATAAATACCTATATATGACTTCTGGGGGTGTGCGATAGACTTACCTCCACGTGGTGTACCATTGGCAACGTATACTTATGCGGCAAAAAATTTAATAAACCGGCAGTTGACTTCTGACTTCAAACTGCCATCACCCCACTGTATGTCATATTCGTCTATTTCCCAGTACTCACCTTTTTTAATACCTTTGTGTCTGTCTCTTTTACATTCCTAAAACACTCTTCTGTCCCCCCCCCCCCCTATCGACATTTTCAATTTGATGTTCCTTCCCCTCTGTGAAGCCTGAAGTCAACTAAAGGGCTAATGATAACTGTCAGAACGCCTGACATTTGATATATATATGACTGCTGTGGATGATTATGGGTATGCCTGACTTTCAAGCAAGTGGAGTTAAACAATGAAAAATCTTTAATAGAGAGTGGATGAAAAATCAAATCGAATCAAGATTTTCTTTGTCTTTTATCCCTCCCCCCATTTTTTGGTGTCCAGACTCTCTTATCGCCATCAAAAGGTCAAATAGGCCTGCAACTCAGTTAAAAAAATAAGCGCACAAAAATTAATTTAATTACGTAAGCATCAAATTAGACTGCAACAGTTACTGCCATAAAGCATAGCTTAAAATATCACGGGCCGATGAAATTCATGTCCACACAGGCAATTCACGACGACATTTCCCTCTAAATACCACCCTGGCGGACCTAGCATACGTAAATAAGTCTCCCTAAACGTCTCCCGTTGGAAATTAAATCAAAAGAAAGTACACTACTTAGCTTGATTTCTCTCCAACCGTAAAAACAGCAAACGTTCTTTATTTCTCCACCGGCAAAATCCACTTTGGTAGGTCAGGAGGCGTCATTATTTTGGCAGATTAATCATACACAACAACTAGCGTTTAGTTGCGCTCTCATGACATTTTTAAAGAGTGGGGTGGGGGGGGGGGGGGGGGGGGGGTAAAACTGCCAGAAATGCCGTGAATTTGGTAGATTACTATAATCTGCTACTACTGTAACTGCTTCTGGTGGGTTGGTATGGTACGAACCGAATACGCCCATCAGGCCACCATCGAAAATGCAGTTTCTACAGCCATTTGTACTGGCTAAGGTAAAATGTTGGGGGAGGGGGTGGAGGGGGGTGGAGGGAGTGAATGGGGGTGGGATGGGAAGTAATGAATCACGCTTAGATGACCTCTTAGATGTTCTCTCTCCCCATCTTTCTAATTTTATTTTGATTTTGGAAAGTAAGGAGGGAGGCATTAAAACTACAAAACAACAGATCTTACGAAATTTGAGTATGGAACAGACTGCAAACTTATCGATGAAA